GGGGTGGCCATATCAGTGTGTCCCCAGAAAGTTCACAAATGCCCTCCTCTGGCCAGCATCAGGGTCAGTGCAGACCTGGTGTTTCTTCCTGGGAAGTGGGGAGGACCAGGAACCCTCTGTGGTGAGGAAGGGATGCACCACCACAAAGCTGCATTGCGTCACACTGGGGCTGGGAAACGTCCTTTTTGTGACCACTGTCTGGTGTGGAGGCAGCCAGCCAAGAAGTGCTGAGAGAACAGAGCAGCGGCCAGTCCTGGCTCTGCCTCAGCTTGCTGCTGGCTCCCACAGGCAGGACCACAGACCACAGTGGCCACTGCAGAGTGTGTGGTTGGTGTCTCTGGGGCAGGCACCTCCTGGGTATTTCTGTGCAGGGCACCAAACACCTCACCTGGGACCCCAGAGGATGCCAGGAATTACCTCCCACCCCCCTCCACTGGGCTCATCCCAGTATCCACATGGGCAGGTCCTTCTCAGCCATCTCTGTGCAACTGGAAGGCGTCTCTCCTCACCAGGACTGAGTGATGATCAATTCCAGATAACACCCCCACAAGATTCACTCATGGTCCCAAGAGGGAGAAAGATTTGTAGGGCTGAGCCAAAGGCTTCCTGTGTGGGCAAAAGCCCATGCCCAGCCAGCAGCCGGCTGCTGGTGGTGTGGAAATAGTCATTCACGTGAGTCCTGGAAACCTTCTGCCAAGGGTACGTAACGCAGCTTTCAGCTGTCTCATGGCTGGCTGGAAGAGATTTGGGACACCAAACTGAATCCATATGACCAGGAGGGGACACAATGTGGATGTGTACGACCAGCAGAGAACCAGCACTCCCAGCACACCACCCTCCAGACCAAGAGGTCAGAGCAGTCATGCCTGTTCCTCAAGCATTGCAGGTCACCATCATAAGCCCTTCTTTCTCCAGGAGTGGAAGAAGCAAGCCAAAGACAGAGATGGATTCACCTGGAGCACAGCTGGATTGGGAACAGAAGGCAGCAACAAGGAGAGCAATGAGGGCAAACAGGGACACCTCCATGTTCCCATCAGGAGCTAAGCTGACGTACAGATCATGTCTGTGCTCATCTCTGATACAACCAGTCCTTGCTTTCCACACAGAAGCACTGGGGATGGGTAATATAAATGGGTGGGCTTAGGAAAAAGACTTTTTGAGTGATGTGAAGCTGCCAGAACACGGCCAGTGTAGATTAGAAAGACAAAACTCAAAGAGGCTGAGCCATGAGGCCGATTTCAAACCATCAGCTACCAAAGAGCTGTAGAGAAAGGTCATGGCAGGATGTATGTCCCTTTAGAGATGTTGCGTAGAAATAACCGCAACCACACTCCTCACGTTGAGGAGAACAGCTGAGAGCCAGAGGAGGAGAGCAGCCCTGAAGGGATTGATGGAGGGGGTAATTAGAGAATCGGGTTAGGAACAGGGTCCATGAGGGGAAAATGCAGACATGGGGTCTGCAGGGCTGACCTCCCTTCTTAGGGCTTCTCTCATCTTCACTGGGAGAAAGGGAGCAGGCACAGGGTTCTTGCTCTCAGAAAGACCATAGAGAACCAGGATACCAGGTCCAGACTAAGCATGTCCAGTTGTAGACTACGCTTGATGCTTTCCCCATGGCACCATCAGGGTCTTCTGACCTTCTAGATGCCTTCTGGCCTTCTAGATGCCTTCTGACCGTTACTAAGCAGCAGACAGTAAAGGAAAAGCCTGTGGTCTTGCCTGGGGTCCTGCAGAATTAACCTGTCAGGCCACAAGGAAACAGCTGGGCTTGGCTTTTGTCCACTTCTACAAGCACATGAGAAGCCTGATGACTGAGCAATGGTTACCTTCCAGCAGGCAACTGGGGAGCTGGACTCTCCTCTTGCTTCTCAGCTGGACTCTCATTCCTTCAGCTCAGATCTGGCTGGTGAACCACTTGGCCTTGCTGAGTCCTGACTTGTGTCTTGCGTCTTGATACCTGGCTCCACACTTCCTAGTGCTCCATGTCTCACCCATCCCATCTTGCATTCTATTTTGTACCACAGATGTCCCTGGACTGCTTGAAGCGCAAAGAAACCTGCAGGGAAGGGAGTGTTGGACTCAGAGCTGATGTGGAGAAGGGTGTCATAAGTGGGGTGTCGTAAAAGCCAGGCTAGGGGCTGATCTGCAGTTGGGCCATCTCTGGCAGGTTTCTGTGCAGCAGGGACCACTGAGAGCTGGTGACGCGTCCTCTGGCCTCACCAGTTTCTCTCCCCACAGCAGCTCTCCCACCTCATCCACGAGTCCCCTCCTGGCTGCCCTCCCCTGCCCAGAGCTGGCAGCAGGCTGCTCCCTGCACGTTTGACCACTGCAGTCAAAATCTCTCAAAATTTGACCCCTGAGATCAGCCTTCTCCTTTGCTCTCAGCTCCCCAGCATAGTGCTGCCCCCCACCATCCCCATCCCCATAGGCTGGCATGGAGAGCCAGGCAGCACGGGTGGGCACAGGACCCCCGGGATGGGCTTCCATGGTCCCCACACAGAGGGACCCCCCTCACTGTGCCCAGCTCATGCCAGGGGTCTGGGGTGGGGGAGCTGCTGGAGCAGCCTGGCTTGGCTGCTGCTGCTGGAGCTTCAGAAAGGAAATTGAAACCAGAAAGGCTGGAGAGGGAAATTCCCGCACGTGGCCGGGATCCTGGCCAGGGACTGTCCGGACATGAGCCAGCTGCAGCGCCGAGTCCTCCCGCATCTCCAGCCCATCCCCTGGGGCCTGGGGCACAATTCAGACCCCCCAGCCTTTCCCCTCACCGTGACATCAGTCTCATGTCCCCTCTGATGACAGACACCATCCTCTGTCCCCTCGCAGCTGCAGAGCCCCAGACCAGGAATGATTTTGGGCTCCTGCAGTTCCTCTACAGCATCAAAGACAGCACAAAAGGTAGCTGAGCCCACGACAGGCGTGCAGGGTCAGGATGCCCTCGGGGCAAAGGAGACCCCCAGCACCCCTTCCTGGGCAGTTCCTGCCTACCCATCCCATCATGAGACGGCCACTCTCTGCTCTCATGTCTCACAGGAGAAAAGCACCACTCAGGACACACCTCTCTGCAGGTATTGTGTCTCCTTCATAATGGCAAGCCCTGGCCATAGAGTGGGACAAGATTTCTGTGAATATGTTGATCTACCTCGTCCCTGCTTGGACCTGACCCTCTCTGCAAGGACCCTGCTGTGCCAGGGGAGCACGGGGACCCTGCCAGGGGTGAGTGAGAGCCTTTCCCAAACCATCCTTCCTGCAGAGCGGGCAGGAGCCATCCCCATGGAGCTAGAGAGGAGCCCTTTACATCGTCCCCCATCCCCATCTCCTGGGATGCAGCAGGGAGCCTGTCTGGGACTGCCCTTGGCAGGGGTGCTGCTCCATGGGTCCTCCTGCCTGCAGCCAGCTTTGCAGCCTGGAAAACACATGACTAGAGGGAAATCACAACACCGTGGAGGTGCTTTCCCAGCCTTGGGGTTGTCAAGTCTGATCTATAAAGGAAAAAAGGAAACAATGCAAGACAGGTTGTTGTTGCATTAGGAAGAGGAAATATGGACTGAAACAGGATGGCTGCAGGGCCAGGTTAGCTCTGGGTGAATCTGTTTTTATAGAGATGTTTCATCTCAATGTGCAGAAGCAGAGGAGTGCTGAGCATGACTGCAATGGGCAAGTCATGGCCTGAACTGTGCTTTTACCCTTGGGACCTGCTCCTTTCCATTCGTGTTCCCATGCAAAGCCACTTCCTGGAACTGACTACAGCCAGGAGAAAGCAGGTTTGCTGGTGGGAAAGGGAGGAATGGCCCCTGTTGGGGTGGTTAGAAAGAAAACTGTGTTCCCTGTCCCTCTCCAAGCAGAACCCGGGGATGCACGGGGGCTGGTGGGCAGAGATGTGGTGATGTCTTGGAGGAGCAGATATGTGGGAGGAGGGATGCCGCAGGGCTGCTGACAGTGCGCTTGTGGGTGCCTGTGGGTTCTGTGCTGGGAAATACTGCAGCTGAGCTGACAGAAGGGGCTATCAGGGGTGTGCACAGGCAGGGAATCGGCACTGCTCTGTGCCCTTGGCACAAGGATGGATGAGAGCTCACATGCCCAGGTACTGACCAGCTCACTGCCACAACTCCATGCTCTCTGCTTCCTCCCATCTGACCGTGAGCCCCTCTCCCTGCTCCCTTCCCAAAGCCTCTGGCAGGATTTTACCCCTTACAGCAACATGTCCCATCACCCACCCATTGCACACACACCAGTTTGGGGTGCGGCATGTGGCACTAGAATGGCAAGCAAGTGGACATGCCTGGGGTGCGTGGAGACCCTATTCATGTATATAAAAGGCACATATGTGTATACAAACATGTCTAATTCTGCAGAGGATGTGGGAGGCGGGGGGGTGTGTGGCGGAGGAATGAGGTGTCGGAGGATATTAATGTATCTGCAATACGGAAACTTTATGGTTTTGTCTCAAACTATTTCCCATCATCACGTGCCATGTAGAGTGTACAGACAGGCTCAGGGCGAGGGTCTGCGTCTGTGCTAGTGAACACCACACAGAGGCACATAAAGGGAAAAAAGCAGAAGTTTTGTCCAAATTCTTTATTCTCCAGAATCACTTCACACATGTAAGCCAGGGCCACCCATCATCCAACATTGAGACTCTAAGCCACCCTCCCATAAATAGCATTATACACAGAAGAAAATACTGTCTAACCCATGTAATAATTTCTTAAATAATTTAAAATAAGATAAGAACAATAGAGGTGCAGTCCCATGGGCCAGGCCACAGGCGGAGGTGACAGGGCAGAGGGATGAGGTTGCAGACCTGTGTAAATCAGCTGAGGAAGAGCAGCAATGCCCCAACCCAAGGTGTCTCATGGTGCCTCTCCAGCAACCCCTTGGAGCCACCTGCGGATGACGTAGGCTCGTGCAGCTCCTGCCTCCTCAGCATCCCGCTTCATCGCAGCGGCTCAGGATAACGCTAATCCTGCATGACAGCAGCGACGCTTGCCACATTGCTTTGCTCAGTTCTGCTTCAAATTCTGCAGGTAGCTTTGCACCCAGGTGTCACTGGGATTGGTACAGACTTGGCGGCCTTTCTTTGTGATGAACCTGTGGACAAGACACGTCAGATCAGACCTGCATCCCAGGAGAGCCTGGATCCCAGCCTTGGGGCATTCACAGAACCACAGCATGGCAGGGGTTGGGAGGGACCTCCGGCGATCATCCAGTCCAGCCCCTGCTAGAGCAGGATCACCCAGAGGAGATCACACAGAAGCAGGTCCAGGGGTTTGAATGTCTCCAGAGAAGGAGACTCCACAGCCTCTCTGGGCAGCCTGGTCAGTGCTCTGCTACCCTCACAGTAAAGAAATTTTCCCTTATGTTTAGGTTGGACCTCCTGTGTTCCAGTTTGTGACCACTGCCCCTTGTCCTGTCACTGGGCACAACTGAGCACCTTCTGACCCCCACCCTTTAAGATATTGATAACCATTAATGAGATCCCCTCTCAGTCTCCTCTTCTCCAGGCTGAACAGCCCCAGCTCTTTCAGCCTTTCCTCCTATGGGAGATGCTCCAGTTCCCTCATCATCTCAGTGGCTCTGTGCTGGACTCTCTTCAGTCATCCCCTGTTCTTCTTTAACTGGGGAGCCCAGAACTGGACACATTACAAGAGGTTCTCCCCTGTGCCCTAAGCCAATGCTGAAACCAGTGGCTGGCTGTAATTTTCCCTGCTCCCATCCCTTTTCCCCTCCTTAAATCCTGCAAGAACAACCCTGGGCAACCCCAGCAGCCCCTGTGCAATTCCTATCCCCTTGGGGTCCCTGCTCTGTCCCCACAGGTGCACACCCCACAGCAGTTGTCTCTGCACTGCCTTAGTTTGCCTGCACCCCGCAGTACCGGTTGGTACTTACACGATGGCTGGCAAGGTGCAGCTGGTGCTGGTGTGGTAGTATCGCAAGATCAGCTTCTGTGGGAGCTTGTGGTGTGTGTAGGAGAAGCAGCAGATTGGGAGGTCGGGTCCAACTGGAAAAGGCAAGGAGAGACAACGTGAGCATGTGCAGAGATGTGTGTGGGGAGCAGCCAGCCCATCAGCTCAGGGAGCCATGCTGTCAGGGAAGGGCACGCGAAACTAGAGAATAATTGAGGTCAAAACGGACACTGGGCATCATCTGGTCCAATGCCAGGCACAGTATCATCAGGGACTGGGAGGCATTACCACCCCATCTTTGCTCAGAGCTGCATTTCCCTGCCTCCCCCAGCCCCAGGGCAAAAACTGAAAACCCTAAACTATAACCAAGAATAAGTGCTCTGATCATCGGATAGCTGGAGAGGTGGATGGATGGTTGGATGGATGGATGGATGGATGGATGGATGATTTTCTTACTCTGGGGTGCCTACACACAGCTGATCTCAGCGCAAAGCAGTAAGTGGCACAAATGCTGAAAAATTCCCAGTTATCTGCCAGGGGAGCTCAATGGAGAAATAGTAACAAAGGCTCAGATCTGTTCTGCCTTCACCAGTGTAAAAAGCAGGACTCACCTGGTCCAGAGAAAGTTTGGGAGCAAGAGGCTGCAATGAGGAGAAGAGCAAAAGCGGCCACAGAGATCCTCATCTTCCCGTCAGGCAAGGGCAGTCAGAACGGGACCGCTCTGGCAAATGCGGCTCAGTCTGCAGCAGCTGGAATCAGCTCCCTTTTAATAAGGAGTCCTGGAGGCAGCCGGGAGAAGCCTGAGTGGAAATTCCAGGATGATCACAGAGGATGTCACGAAAGTGAAACAGCCAAAGGGAAAAGAGCCAAAGGGAATTAGAAAGAAAAAAAAAGGCAGAAAGAATGGGATATGTTCACATTAGAGTCAAGTATGTTGAGCTCTGAGTCAGTGCTCTTTTTCGATTTCATTGAATCAAAAGGAAACTAAAACATGCCAAGCGGCATGGTCACAAAGAGGAGAACTATTTATCTGAACTGCAGGAGGGATTTTCCCTCTGTCTGTATAGCAAAAGAAACAATGTTTGCCTGAGATTATGCAACTCTGGAAAAAGACGAAACAAAACAAAGAACAACAACAAAAACCAGGCAGGCTCCAAAGCGTGCTTGTGCTGTGATGTGCCAGGGGTCTACCAAAGGTTGCCAAGCTGCAGCACGTGGAGCTGAGTGGTGGCTGGACCACGGCTCTGTGCTACCCAAAGTGCTCTGCCCTCACAGCCTCAGTGCTTGGCTTAGCAAGGACCAGTGAAGAGCTGAGGCTGGAGACAGCCCTGGAGATCACTCAGTCCAACCCCTGCTCAAAACAGGGTCGGCTGGGAGGGCTGACCAGGACATGTTCAGGTGGGCTTTGAATATCTCCGGGGATGGAGACTTCGCAACCTCTCTGGGCAACCTGTTTCAGTGTCCACTAATAAAAGTTTTATCTGCTGTTTAACTAGAATTTCCCCTTGCCTCTTGTCCTGTCACTGGCCACCACTAAGAAGAGTTGGGCTCCATGTACTTTTCTCTGCACACACGCATTGATACGATTCCTCTGAGTCTTCTCTGGAATGAACAGTCCCAGCTCTCTCAGCCTTTCATCCCAGGAGAGATGCTCTTGTCCCAGAATCATCTTCATGGTCCTTCACTGAACTTCTCCAGTATAACCATATGCCTGTCATACTGGGAAGCCCAGCACTCCAGCAGTGGCCTCAACAGTGCAAATGGGAAGGATCACCTCCCTTAATCTGCTGGCAATGCTCCTCCTAATGCAACCCGGGACCCTGTTGGCCTTCTTTGCAGCAAGGGTACATTGCTGCTCAAGTCCAGTTTGGTGGCCTACAGGACCCCCAGCTCCTTTTCTGCCAACCCCTTTCCAGCTGGTTGGCCCCCAGTATGTACTGGTGCCCAGCGTTGTTCCTCCCCAGGGGCAGGACCTGGCACTTCTCCTTGTTGAACTTCATGAGGTTTTTGTCAGCCCATTGCTCCAGTCTGCCGAGGTCCTGCTGGAGAGCAGCACAGCCCTCTGGGGTGTCAGCCACTCCTCCCAGCTTTGCATCGTCTGCAGACTTGCTGAGGGTGTGCTTCGTCCCATCGTCGAGGTCAGTAAGACATTAAATAGTACTGGCCCTAGGGGTTCCCCACTGCTGACTGGTCTCAGGCTGGACTTTGTGCCATGGACCACATCCAAGCCCAGCTGTTTAGCCAGTTCTCAGTCCTTCTCATGGCCATTTATCTAACCCATACTTCATCCTTTGAGGATTTTATGGGAGCCTTACTAAAGTCAAAACAAACAACTTCCACTCATCCCTCTGCCCTCATCCACCTGGCCGGCCGTCTCATCTTTGAAAGCTACCAGGTTGGTGAGGTGTCTGACTACTCACAGTCACCTTAACAGCCACAGGCCTCCACAGAACAACCAGATGGCAGGATCTCACCCCACTTTGGAGAGTCTCTGCAGACAGGAGGGTCTTTTGCCACTTCAACCTCAGCCTGCAGGGGAACGGGGAGTTCACTGTAAGAGGTGGTTTGCCACATCAGAGACATTTTGCCAGCCTGAGCCTCTCCCTCTAAAAGCTCCCTTGAGTCCAGGATGGATTTTCTAGCCAAAAAGGTGAGAAACATGTGGTGGAGAACATGGTTGAGATCGGAGTAACTTTCAAGCCTCATCAGGTTGTTGTCTTGGGCCAGCTTCTTCAGCCGGGCAGAGCAGCAGCTCTGCAGGGACAGGGGTGACCTGGGGCTTCCTGACACCTTGCCACAGCCCAGAGGTGCAGCTGGAGTCCCAGCCCCTACCTTGCAGAGGATGCTCAGGCCTGGGGGTGGTCTGCATTTTCATCCCCAGAAGCACAAATTCCCTGCTCAGCTACCATGGATCTGAAAGCGGAGACACCATCCTTGGAAATTTGCTTGGAAAGAAGGTCCAGGAGCCCTGACAGAGGTGATGATCTGCTCCTCCACACACTCACACCCCCAGATCTCTTTTGCACTTGTGCTCCCCTGTATGGTCCTAAATGGCTGTGGTGGCCTGCCGGCTCACCCTGCCAATGGGCAGAGACATCACCAGAGCAGCCGAGGGTGTGCTTTTACTGAGGCCAAAAGCTCTCTAAGCCCTTACACAGGTATGGAGGAAGGCACTGGATTTTGCGGGGTTCACAGCAAGCCCTTGCAGGACTGACTTTGCCTTCCCCGAGTGGCTCTGGGCAGAGGCGCACGGCAGAACAAGAAGTGGCTCCAGTTCTTGGCCAAATTGCTGCGAAGCACAATCAAATTATGGCTTTTTGCCATGGAAATAAATAATGTAGAAACCAACAGTGGGAGTTTTATGTTCCTCTGTGCTTGCAACTCACATGTGCACAGGGAAGTGACAAACGCTGGCTGTCGGCACTGCATTGCTGGGTGAGAAAGGTTGTGGCTGTGGAAAGACAGATTGTGGCTAACAGCAGCCAGAGACAGCTTCTGATGGGAACTTCACAGCCTCCACTGCCCAGCCTGTCCCCTGCAACAAACGAGCCACAGGCTGGTGGTTCATGTGGCACTGTCACCCAGGGGTGGTGGGGACATGTGACGGGGGTGGGATGTGACATTGGACAGCTGTGTTCTCCATCTGGAAGCCCTGAGATGGTCAGGAGGAGGAAAGGAGCTGTCATTTGCTGCTAATGAATTTGGCAGAGCTGGAGGAGTCTGCAAAGAGCTGCTGCAGCTGGAGTCGCTTGGTTGTGTCATCGGCACAAACCACCCCGCGCTGACAAAACCGCCCGTTGTCAGCTGTGGTGCTGTTTCCCCCCGAGTGCTGAGACGCCTCCTGGAAGGGGGGCACCTCTCTTCCCCCACAGCCGCCCCCCTGCGCTGCCGACCCCCTGCCACAGGACCCCGGCATTGCGTCCCGGCTGCAGGCTCCCGCCTGCTCCCTCCCGCCTCCGGGCTCCTGCCTGCTCCCACAGCCACTCGCCCTCACTGGCCCCTGAGGCCAGCTTCTGTCTTCAGTTTTCTGTTTCTGTATGCTGGTTTTCGCTTCTCCATCAAAACCCAGAGCCCTCTACTGTCACTGTTCCTGCAGTTTAAGTGTTCGTATGCTGACCTCTCTCAAGCTTCCTTTATTATTCTTGGAAGCTAATTTTTTTTTTTTTTGTCATTTTAGCCTCACCCAGATTGGGGCATGAGACTTGTTTGGGTGCAGTCAGGATAGAAGAAGAAAGCTAAAATTATTTAAAGTGGAAGATTGCCGGGAAGGATGTTACAGTGGGTGCTAAGTCTTTACCCCTGAGATAGATGGTGGCAAGGATTAGCCCAGAGGGCTTGGGACTCCTTCGAGCACCCTGAAATCCTGCCCTCGCCAAGAGTCACAGATCACAAAGGGCAGAGGGGTGCAGGATGCTTTGCTCACTGGTGGTGCGAGTGGTCCCCAGGCTGGTGGGGAAGCTGTGACTGCTTTTCCCAGGGGGCACAGTCCCTGCCCTGGCACCGTTGCACTATCAGTGAGACCTCGGAGCACATAAAGGGGTATTGCTCCGTCCCCATCACTCCAGTGGGCTGTTTGCTCCTCTCGCTCACAAGCCCCCAGTGCAAGCTCTGGGGTGGGGGCTGCTCAGTTTGGGGGGCACTGGTGGTTTTGCCTGGGACAGAGGTGTGGTGCCCTGGGGGGTCACAACCTTGTCTCTGCACTCGCAGCCTGGGGCAGAGGTGATCCCTGACTGAGCCCAGCTCCTCTCCACTCCCACTCACAAACTGTCCCAGCATGTCTGTCCTGTCCCACTCTGTGCAGTCCTGAGGGATGCAGGAGGCCGCACGGGGAGGCTGCAGGGACGTGGTGTACCGTCCAGCGGCGCTGGGGCTCCCCTCTCCCCAGGAGACGTGGGTGCCAGGCAGAGCCCGTGCTGGCCAGGGTGAAGGGACAATGGCTCTTTTGAAGGGCACAAGCCCATCTGGGGTGGCAACGTCTCAGCATCACAGGGAGCAGGATAGGGCCTGTGCTTCAGAGGGACACTGCTGAGCCCTAACCTTCAAACAGCCCCCACACATGGGAAGTGGTTTGCAGCCTTGCAGCAAGCCCAAAATAAATTATCAGGTTAGCGAACATCCGAGCTCGCTGTCAGTCTCCGTGTATAACCATGGGGGGTGGAAAGCTCACACCTCGCTGTGGGAGCAGGGGCTCACACCTCCCGTGGGGTTTCCTACCCCCATCAGTGCTGTGGAGGACACCAACACCAGACATATCCCTGCCACCATGCTGCAAACAGGGGCACCGAGCTGGTGGGCGCAGGGTCTTCAGGAGGTCTGACAGCCATACACTAGGGAAGCCCTCAGCTGTGGCAATGGTCCTGACACAAGTTTGGATGCTAACGCTGGCCTCAGCCCCGCTGTGAGCAGGGCAAGGCCGTGGTGTTTGGCTGCGCCCATCACCCGTGGGTGCAGCTGCCCTGTGCTCTGCAGGTGACCTGCACCCACCCAGCCCCCGAAGAGCTGGTGCCAGGAGCACAGGAAAATGACTGCAAGCGATCTGTGGCTTGCTGCTTTTCCTTTTTGCTTGATTATGATGAGCACACAAGGCCCAGTGGGTTAATTTATAAACTGGTTTTGTTCTTCATCCTAGCAGAGCTCTGCATTTTCATCCCATTCTTCCTTGCTCTTTCTGGACCCACGGAAGATCTGAGTGAGATGGGCTGTCCCAGGGAGATGGGCTTCTTCAGGTAGGGGATGCAGCCCCAGCACAGGGGCCTCCCAGGCATCTGCAGGGTTTAAGGGATGCCGAGGAGTGTGGGTCGGGGGTATCCCAGCCCCCAGCACTGGCAGTTGAGGTGTACCAGGAGCACTCTGACTGTCGCAGCCGCTTCCCTAAGGCTCAAAAAATTACTAAAACACACATTTTCCCTGTTTCTTTTCTTTCATTTCAAGCCAAGTATGGAAAGGGGTATGGAGCAAGGAGGCTTTTTTGTTTCACTTTAATTTGGTTTGAAATACTGTGCACTTAATCCTCTTTGGTTTGGTTTGTTTCAAAAGAAAGGCCAGGAAAAAATTGAGACATCAGCCTTTAGAAAGCAATAGCATTCCCCAGTGTGTTTTTTTCAGGAATTGCCCTTGCCAGAGGAAGGTTGAACCTTTGACGAGATACATTTTTCTTATCAGCTACAAACATCTTCCTGGCATGACACGATTTCAGGGAAGGACAAAGGAGTCTCTTAGCTGGCGGTGGCCGGCACTCACTCTCCCCTTCTCCCGCAGTTGGTGGAGACAGATGGCTCCCAGTCACCCCCCCACGCACAGGTTCCCATTGGAGCCAGTTCCAGGACATGATGTCATCTCAAAAATTCCAACATTTCTCCAGAAACATCAAGAATGGCTGGGGTGAAATTTCTGGACACTCATGAAAAGTCACTGGTGCTGGAGCTCCAAGCAGGGCAGGATGGCGACCGCTGTGGGTGGAAGTAGAGCTTGTCCCCAAGGCAGTTTCTGAACTCAGGACATTTTAAAATACTTCCTTTTCCGAGCAAATTCCGACTCCTCAGCATTAAAACCTGCTATAAATAACAACTTACATTAGCCAGTCTCACCATACCGTTTTTTTCAGGGTTCCCCTTTCATTCAAGATTGAGAATTTCCCTATTTCTGCTATCACTGAATTTATTTTGGGCATTTGCTTTACTTAGCACTTTCTCCTGGGATTTTTCAGGGACTTACAGAAAACCTCTATGGTATCCCTCTATGTAAATTGGCACAACGTCAGCCTGACTGCTCCAGACAGCCCATCCTGCCCGTGGCGGGGGCAAAGGGAGCCCATGAGGTGGTGATGGGTCCTGGTGGAGCTGGTGGGAGAGTTTCCACCTCACAGTGCTCTCTGCTATGGACCCAATTTCCCTCAGGTGCCCCAGCCCACTCCCTCGTGGTTACCTCCCTGCCTCAGAGCACCTCCCAGTCTGGATGGTCCTTCATCCAAGTCATGCAGCTTCCCCTCTTTCTAAAGGGAGAAGAGCTGGAATAAATCACTTTCTCATTTCATCATGACTGGAGGGGGATGAGTGGGCAAGGAAACACTTGTTGCAATATCTCAGGGCATCACCAATATGACTACAGCCTCCCATCCAGATCCAGCCTGGAAAGAGCTGGCAGACCAAGGGCTTTTATCAGATTTCTCAGGAAAAAAACCGACCCCTGGGAAGCAAGCACCTTGACTTTGGGTTTATTTATGGCTTTCAACATTAGAAAAGTTTCAGCCTTTACCTGGCCTCTGTGACATGTGTTATCTAGGCTAAATTGATCCTAAACTGACTCAGCTACAATGAGAAAGTTTTTCTTAATAATTAAAACATGGTCCCTGACAGTCCAAACTAATTTGGCATCTGCTTGCTGACAAAGGTATAAATGCATGGAGGTTTTCTGCTGTCCAAAAAGGGAAAATGTCTCATTGAGAACATTCAAATGAACAATGCAGATTTCCAAATAATTTTTCTGTTTTAATGAAACATGGGTTTCGTCATAACATTTCTACACCGTATATGGTAGTTCTCCTGCCTGCCCTACCCACGCCATGTGCCCTGGGAGCAGGACAGGACCAGATGGCTGTAGGTGACGGATCTCAGTACATGACCCATGGATGCTTGAAGGGACAATCACAGGGAACAGCTCAGAGGCAAACCACGCGATTACGTACATCCACAAGTTACATTCCCTGAACAAGCAGACAGAGGAGCCAAGTGAGCCGATGCAAGCTCAGAGCTGATTTCTGGTCCAGCTGGCGTCCTCCTGCCTGGCCAGGCGCCCTGCCTGCAGAGGCAGCTCCACTCCTCGTCCTTCCAGGATATCTGGGGACAAGCAAGCTGACAAGTGGAGTTGGGAGCGCAGTGGTGGGTGAGCCTGCGAGCCTCTCTCTGTGGATGGGAAAGGGAAGGATGGAGAGGGGACGGTGGTGGGGGCGCCGGGGAGCCTCTCTCTGTGGATGGTAAAGGGAAGGATGGAGAGGGGACCAGCTTGGCTGTGATAGCCAGGAAGGAGGTGATGCTCGGCTTGGCAAGAGCAACGTTTGCTCCATGGGATGGATCTCCCCTCCCCAGCCAGGGAGAGGGGCAGGTGCACCACTACGGCTCCCAGCAGGGTCACCTTCTTGGGCACCTTTGGGAGTTGTTCTGGGCAAGTCCAGGACCACATTGTCCTCCAGTCCGCTCTCTGCCCACATGGAGTAGAGCAGTTAACCTGCACACAGTTAACCTGCCGCGGCTGGTGGAAGGGGAGGGGGCAGCTCACGGCTGGTGGAAGGCTGTGCACAGCACGTGGCGTTGGAGTAATATTTGGAAAACACCAGGTTATTTACAGAAGGCGCCTTGGTCGATAGCAGGGAGCCTTTAATAGAAACATGGTGAGTCAGCGCCCAGCTCTGTGGTGGTGCTGGTGCAGAGGTGCTGGTGGTGCGGTTGGGCTGCTCCGCTTCAAGTTCTAGTCCTTCCACTGACTTTCAGGCAGCATCTGTCAAGGCACCACCACTCGGTGATGTCTTGGAAATAATGAAATGGAAACATTCCCCAGAAATGTGTCTGCTTCCCTATTGAGAATAGATGTCCTTCTAGGAGTATCTCGCTATGGATGGACAGTCCTGAGCTCTTCCCAGAACATCCATCACCTCCCTTACAGGCCTTCCCTCTTCTCCTCAGGGTCAGAGAGGGGCCTGGTAGACTCCATGGCAGTGTCTATGTAGGCTGGTGACTTCTTCCCAGTAAGTCATCCCTGGTCGCAGCCCTTGCCCAGCCCTCAGAGAGCTGTCAGCTCTTATTCTCTCCCATACAACATGGTCATGACAATTTTATCTTTTCTGCTGAGATCAGATACTCTTTTCTTGCCAGAAATCCCAGTTTCTACCCTCATCCCCCAGTTAACCTGCTCCTGATCGTCAGAAGCAATGTCTTCTTCCTCAATCTTCTCCTGGAGCTCCTCCTGCCTCATCTTCAAGGTCACAGCCAACATCTCCACAATCCTTTCGGCTCTCTCTGTCTTCATGCCAGGCCCCACCTCACCTATCAGTTCCCATTGAAATTCAAGTGTCCAACCTAAATTGGTCATTTAGAGTCTCCTCATAGAAGCTGGAGTGTGGCAGGCACCTCCAGGAGATAATGACCCATCGCAACTCTTATTTCCCTTAAACTGAAGAGAAAAATCAGGTGCTTCAGCTTCTGGGACTCTCATTTTATGCCCACCACTACCTATGCTGGTGCTTGCAGTGCTGTCACAGCTGCAGGAGATGCCCTGAGTCCCCTCACACTGTGAAGCACACACAGGCCATGCAGTCCCATGGCTGCCATCTCCTTTCACTGGGGCAGCACGGGCTGTGCAGGTGTGGAAGGGAACCAGTCCAAGACAGAGGAGACCTGAGCCCCTCTTTCTCTGCCTGGTCCCATCCCATGCAAGCTCTCCAACCCATTTACACAGCTCTCGGAAGGAGACATCCTCACCTGTGATCTGCTGGGGCAGGTTGGGCAATAGGGGCCTGTTGACAAATGCAGGAACCTCCACAGGGGAACTTCTTGCTAAGGGACATGCATGAAAGAAGCAGAAATAGCAATGGTGAGTGTTTCACATCCTGTGTCATTGGGAAGGCTCTGAATTGAGTGGTAACTTCACCCTTCCGGGGCTGGTGTTGCTGCTTTGTTCCACCACACGCCTGCACCACAAGCAGCCTCTTCTCTGGGGGAATTTCCACCAGGCCTACGCAAGCCGCGGCACGGACCTCCTTGCCCCATAAATGAGGGAACTGCTGGCTGTCCCAGCATCAGACAAAGCAGAGGCTTTCCAGCTCCACTTGCCTGCTCCAGCTCCGGCCACCACTTCTCAGCTGACATGAAGGTCTCTGTGGCTGCCCTTGCCATTCTCATCGCTGCCTTCTGCTACCAGACCTCCACTGCGCCACGTAAGTCTGGGCTCCCCTCATCCTCTCTGACTGGGGACAGGAGAGATGATGCTGCTGGGACAGGGTCCCTCCTGCCAGCCTTTCTGCCCCCGAGTCCTTCCCCATGTCAGACCATGCTATGACACCTGCCATATATGACATATATGCCATATATGACACCCCCAGGGCCATTGGAGCTCTCCTGCTATGGGAGAGGCACAGCTCAGAGCATGGCATGGGTTTTGCCAAAGCCTGCTCAGGGTGAACCCAGAAAACAAAGAATTGAAGGAAGAAGAAAAAAGCCCTTGTTCTTTCTTCCTCTGCATTCTCCTCATTCCCCAGACCCCCCCCTCCCTCAGACCCCTGCAATCCAGCTCCCTGCCCCTGCTCCCTATCCCTCGCCACCGCTGACCACTGTCTTTGTCCTTCACAGTTGGCTCCGACCCACCGACCTCCTGCTGCTTCACCTACACTTCCCGGCAGCTGCCCCGCAGCTTCGTGGTGGAGTACTACGAGACCAACAGCCAGTGCTCCCAGCCCGCCGTCGTGTAAGTCCTCTGCTCAGGGCGGGCTGGGGTCTGCGTGGGGCTGAGGATCCAGAGAGGGACAGACAGGGGATGGGAAGGATCGGGGAGGAGAGGTGCGAGGTGGTGCTCCATGGACTGAACACACAGGAGGCTCACACTGGTCCTGCTCCACCATTTTGCAGACTAACTGGTGGCTGCTTGATGTGATGGGCACGACAAGGTGCAAGTCCAAATTCTGCTGAACTATGAGAGCGGCTGGGCTTGTGGCAGGGCTTCTCTCCATGCAGTGCTCTCCCACCAACAATTTACCTCTCTGCACCCCACAGGTTTGTCACCAGGAAGGGCCGGGAAGTCTGCACCAACCCTGAGCATGACTGGGTCCAGCAGTACATGAACGAGCTGGAGCTGAACTGAGCCCCCGGGACAGTCCCTGTGCCCCCGAGCAGCTGGGATGGGCCAGCCACCAGCTGTGGGTGCTGTCGGACAATTTAAAGATAGCTGAGAAACTGAAAATGTCCTAGAATCTGACTTTAGTGTTTTGCTATTTAATTTTTTATACAGGAGAGATCAGGTGCAATAACTCCACTCCAGATAAATAACAGTATTATTTAATAGATGTATTTTTTTAATGAAGAATTATGCTACGTTGTATTTTCTGTATTGAGTGAATTGTATATTTGACGTAATATTTAATTCAAATTTCAAGAAATAAATATTTTTGTAAGAACTTTCTGTCTTTGCCTCTATTACAGTTCTTTGCAATGACAATGGCTCTAATCATAACAGTGGTAACACGTTCTTTATTCCCTTCTCTATGCTGTCAAAACTCCCACAGGCTTTCCCTATCTGAATGTCCTGTTTTGCAAAATAGGAAGAGAAAAACCCTGAAGGAGGTTAGAAGTGCATAGATTACATTCAGGTAGCTTGGCTCACTCTTTTCATAAGGTATTTAATCACTGCTCATTATGACTACTGGCAGCTAGCTGAATTCCATTGTCAGCCCCATTATAATCAATTAAAATGTTACCTTTAGGGGCTGAAATTTTACATGCTGGGTGTTTCAGGAAAAGTTTTCTGAGAGCTGCAGCTAAAATGGAACAGTTACTCTCAGAACTGAGGATGGAAAAAATACGTTTCACTACAAGATTTTTAGAAATATTTCATTAAACTCTTATTTAGCTGGGACATGAGGCTTAGCAGATGCACCCCTCTTATGAGAAAAGGTGCTTTTTCTCTGAGCTTCTGAATCCTGCCCAGATCTGGAGATGTCTGCCCAGAGGTGCAGTGTCCAGGGATGCAGTGTTACCCTGCAGCTGCCCTGCCAGACCCCAGCCCCATGGCAGGATCTGCCCCTGGAAGGAGATTTCTCCACCACAGCCCTGGGGCTGGTCTCCCACCAGAGCTGAGAGAGATGGAGCCCACAGCATGTGGGTGCCCATAGGCCAGCCCAAGACAAAAGGCTTGGGTCAGAGACTTGGGACCCTGCAGCGTTTACCTACTAAATTTGGGAGGACAGACATGAACATCAGTGAGATATGGGACAGCTATGAGGGAAGGGAGCTATGAAGATAGGGGCATCATGAAGATGAACAGAAGGAGGACAGAGGCTGTGTGGGATCCATGCATTGAGAGGATCCTCGGGGGTGGGGGTGGAAGGGACCGGAGGGATGTGGGTGTTTTTGAGGAGGATGCAGTGTATTGGTTATGTCAGGAGCTTCGTCACTTCAGGAACTGCAGCCCCCAGCTCCCCAGCCCACAGGGCAGCGCACACCCCATGAGCCATCCCACTGCAGTGCTGACTGCACCCAGCTCAAAACAGCATCCGAGGAGGAGGGGGTGAAATGCAGAGCTGTGCAGTGAGCAGGGTCTGGGCCTCCTTCACCTTGGAGCTGCTGGGACATCAGGGTGGGCTTTGGTCACTGCCCTGACTCCCTGGGCACTGCATCCCCAGGGCCAGCTTGGGAACAGGGTTTATCATGGCCACGCTGGATGTGAGGACACCTTGGCTATGGGGTACCAGCCAGCCCCATATCCAAGTGCTGGAGCACAGTATCTTCACCCTGGGGGCTGAGATTGGCACAATGGTGGGTGCCCAGAGCTGCCCTCGCTTCAGGGAACAGCAGGGGACAGGAGTGGGAAGACATGCAGCAAGGTCATCCCAAAATGGCTTGAGCACCCCTGTACCCCTCTTGGGTACAAGCCCCATCTGCCCCTATGGCCCTGGAAGCAGCCCCACAGCATTGGGGTCTCTTGTCAAAGGACATGGATTGCAGGGTCACCTGGGAGCACCATGCAGCCCGTACACTGGTTGATCCTGCTGCAAACAACCCCGTGCACAACGTCCTTAACAACCCGGCTCACATCCAAGGCTCCCACAGCAGACACTCACCCTGGGTACCTCAGCTACTCCTCACCGCTATTCTGGGAGCCTGCGGGGAGCCCTGTGTTGCTCGTGTCTTTCTTGATCTCACACCCACCTACGCGTGACAGCTCAGAGAAGCCCTCATGCGAGGAATACAGTGTGCTCGTCACTCCACACTCCCAGGCACAGAGGTGTGAACAAAGCAAGCACGAGCAAGGCAAAGGCAGCCAGCAGCTTTCAGCATGGATAAAGCATCCCTGGACATCTGCAGAGCCACTGCGTTTTGCAAACGAGAAGGAGGAGGAGTGCAGGAAGGTGGCCTGGAGCAGGGCAGCTGCAGTACCCATGTGGCCACTAGCTCAAATCTGCTCCCAGGGATTGCCCTGCCCGGAGCAGGGGTATATTTGCCATATACATTGGTGCAGCCTTTTGAGGCTCATCTTGCTGCTAGAGCTGAGCAAGGCAAGAAAACCCTCACATCATGCAGTCCCTGGACGGGCCACAGAATGCCCTGGTGTTCATGTATGGGTCTCAGGGGCTAATCATGACCCTCATACCTCCCAGACACAGCCTCACAGGGGGCTCAGGGGGCACCTACTGGGACAGGGCAGGCAAACGCAAGAAGCAGAGACTGCAGATAAAGGGCACGGTGGGACCCAAGAGGAGGGTGACTTGCAGGGGGTTTCCTCTGGTTTCAGACCAAGAAAATTCAGAATTTGTAAACTACCAAAACAGAGACTCATCCTGAAATCAGAGTGCAGTATTTACTAAATATTTCATGCAACAGATATAGAAGAAAATATTTTTAATGAAAATAGGAAAAAAACTGGGTCAAAAACTGGCTGGATGGCTGAGCACAGAGAGTTGTGGTGAAAGGAGCTAAATCCAGTTGTGACCAGTCACAAGCGGTGTTCCCCAGGGCTCTGTTTTGGGGCCAGTCCTGTTTAACATCTTTATCAATGATCTGGATGAGGGGATTGAGTGCTCCCTCAGAAGGTTTGCAGATGACACTGAGTTGGGAGGGAGTGTTGATCTGCCTGAGGGTAGGAAGGCTCTGAGAGGGACCTGGACAGGCTGAATCCATGGGCTGAGGCCAACTGGATGACCTTCAACAAGGACAAGGGCCGGGTCCAGCACTTGGGTCGCAATAACCCCATGCTGGAGCTGCCAGGCAGAAAAGGACCTGGG